GGAATGAGAAGGCAAGGAAAGAATTGGAAGTAGAAGTGACCATAAAAGGCTTCTTCAGAAGAAGACGCTTGCCAAGGTTAAATTTTCCACCTGGGTAAGCCTGAGTATTGAAGGCAAATGAGTAGTCTTATTTCTAGGATGCACATTCTAGAGTCTGCCACTGCCAATCCCATCTTACGTGTACTGACAGCATAAAGAGAGGCAGGAGGGAGAAAGCGGGGGAACGTGGAGGATTGGGGAGAGAGGGAAAGATGGATTAGATGTGTTATATACAATGTGTGATGAAGGGAATCATTTTGTACTCTAACATGTACCAACAGAAACATCAACAAAAAATTAAAGGATGTGTATATAAAATTCCAGGATCAAAACTTTGGGTTCAATTTACACAAATTTCCTATTAAATTGTTATGAAAATTTTTGACATTTGAGGATAGAATAGTGTGTTAAGCAGACTTTGTGTGTTGCAAGCAACAGAGTTGCTAATCTCAGGCTAACTTATTTATTGTCATAGATTGCCCAGTTCAAAATCAAGAGAGAACTTTGAAAACAAAGGACACTTACTTAGGTAGAATGAGGATTCTTCATAAAGGCAATTAAGTTTTTTGAAACACCAGTGGACTAAATAACACATTGCCTCTTATGCCCCTTATATTACTTTTATTATTATTATTATTATTATTATTATTATTATTATTATTATTATTTTTGGTATTGGGGAATCGAACTTAGGACCTTGCCCTTGCGAAGCAGGCGACGGAACCACTGAGCTAAATCGCCAGCCCTTATATTACTTTTTATGTTATCATGGGAAAGAGATTCTAATGTGCCTGCTCCTTTGTTAGGAAATGATGGGGCACTCTGGCAGCACCAGGAAGAAATACATCACATAGGGCAAAGAAAATTCCCGAAGTAGGAGAAAGGTGAAGAGTGGTTGTGGAGGAAGATCTTGAACAGATGTCAGTTTCAAGAAAGCAGACTGGAAGGTGTCTATTGGATGTCAGTATATTGTACCTTGGACAAAGTGTCCCAAGGACAGAATAACTGAAGGTAGGTTAATGCATTCAATACAGAATGTATAACATTTAAACAAGGAAAAACAAAACAAAACCCTCAGGCAAGAGGAATAACATTGGTGACTATAAAGAGAGGTAAGAGAAGGTTTTAAGAGGATTAAAACTAGATTTTTTTTTTTTTTTGAGACAGGGTTTCACTATGTAGTTGAGACTGACCCGGAACTCACTATGTAGCCCAGGCTGGTCTCAAACTCACAGCGATCCTCCTGCCTCACCTTCCCGAGTGATGGGATTCCAGGAGTGCACCACCACACTTGGCTAAAACTAGATTCTTAAAGACAGGTCTTTTATGAAAAATATGTAGATAATGCTAGAAAGTTAGGTTGGGGAAGTTTGAGGGAGAACAAATTGAGGAATGCATTTCTTTAGGCTACTAGAAGTTATGAACTCTTGATCTTTATTAGCAGCAGTGTGTGTGGTGGAGGGTTTGACTTGTAGAAAGAGAAATGAGAAGAATATTAGAGAAGTAATTAGAGGATGTAGACTAAAATGTGATGAGTAGTCAGCAAAAGGTCAGAATTAACACTGGGATGTCAAGGCAACAGAAAATCTGGAGAGGGAGGGATGATATTAGGACACAAGGAAAAGAGCTCGATCCTGGAAACATCTGTAGATAAAATGACTGAGAGACAAAAGAAAAAGGGGGACAAAGGGAAAATGTAATGATATCTAGATTCATAGGAAATTAAGGTAAGGGGCAAATGTCTTGGTCCATTTTATGCTATGAAAAAATGCCAGAACCTGAGTAATTTATAAAGAGCAGAAACTGACTTCTCACAATTCTGGAGGTTGAAAAATCCAAGATTAAAGTGGCTAACAGGTTTGGTGTCTGGGGAAGATTCTAGTCTTCATTTCAAACATGGCACTTTTAACACTGTCCTTCAGGGAAGCATAATGCTATGTCTTTGCATGGCAGAAGAATGGCAGAGCCAAGAGAACCAAATCCCACTTTTTATTAAAGAACTAAACCTACAGGAAGGCGGAGCCCAGTCATCACTTAAAGGTCTACCTTTCAATGTCATTACATTGCAATTGAATTTCAATGAGTTTTAGAAGGGATAATCATTGAAACCTACATCTCACTCTAGAAGGAATGGCTGCCTCAAGAAATTAACTAAAAACAAATGCTGACAAGGATGTGGGGAGAAAGGAACCCTTCATTGTTGGTGGGAGTGTAAACTGATATAAACATGGTGGAAATCAGTATTGTGATTCCTCAAAAAATTAAAAATAGAAATTGCATTTGAACCAGCTATTCCCCTTTTACATATCTTCCCCAAAGAGTTAAAAACATCACACCACAGTGATGTATGTGTACAAATGTTTATAGCAGCACAATTCATAATAGCTAAATAGCCTAAATGACCAATAACAGAAGAATGGATAAATAAAATGTGGTATATATACACAATGGAATACTACTTTGTGATAAGAAAGATATATTTGAGGCATTTGTAGGAAAATGGAGGCAACTTGAGGCCATAATGTTAAGTGAAGTAAATCAGACACATAAATTTGAACATTGCATGGTTTCTATTTTATTAAAAAGTTGATATTAAAGACAGTTAAGTTAGGTAGAAATATTATAGGCAGTCAGACAGGTTAGACCCTCAAAAACTCAGTGCAGAAGATAACAACACATTACAATTGTGGCTAGAGGCACATTCATTGATGCCAGGTTTCAAAATAAAGATAGAACACCTACATACCTCCCCAAGGGATAAGCAACACACTGTGTTTAGTATTACCTGGTTCAATAAAATCTAGGTAGGCATTAGCCACCTAGGTGGATGACCAGTTCCTTCTGACTCATCTTTTCCTATAAAGGTCCTTATTCTTTCCATGCACTCTTGCTACGTAACTGGCTTCCCCATTGAATCACTATTACCTAAACAACTATACTTGTAATCCTATTGGTTGATCATAGTTTTGTGCCATGTTATGCTCACCTCATGATATTACTGTATAAAACTTCCTCTGTGAAGTAGAGTCTGAGGCAACTCATTTTTAGGGCCTCTCGTGCCTCTCAGGTGCTATCTATCTCACTAAATATCTCCTACTCTTAACCTACATTATTTCTTGGAATTCATTTTTCAATTTTGGGGAACACAAACTCAGTGTATCTGACATCTAGCAGGTTAGGAATTATGTTATTTCCCTTATATCATTTGGAGGCCCTGTATCACTTGGAGGCCCAGTGAGATAATTGGAAGGAGGTAAGAGTTTGTTTTTGTTTCATGGATTCTGGATTGTGACTCATTTAGGTAAATCAGAAATTGTCATCTTTGTTTGTCAATTGCTGAGGCCTTGAATTTGTATGCATTGATTTTTAAAATGATGATAATTTTACATGGAGAAACTTGAGAAGATTATGATATTGTTTTGATGGGATGTTTTACTTTTGCAGGCAAGATCTTGTATTCCTGTTTTGTTTATGCTGCATTTGGACTTACTGGTTGCTGAATTTCTTGGTGCTCCTTGCTTGACCTGTTTGACTTGTTAGACAATAGCACTAAGATAAAATAACATTAGAGTGTCCTCTTGTGGACTTTGATACTGACCAAAATGTGAATTTATAAAATGCTAAAAAATGGGTCTTTTCTATGAAATCTATTTTATATTTAGGAAATAAACATTCCTATTTCATGGGACTTCAACTGCCAATGGAAGGCAATAGGCTGTGTCTGTTCTTAGGACTTGGAGGACAGGTTTCACTGGGACAGTTTGGCCTGGTCCCCCTCTACACACTGTCAATATGCTATAATCTATCGAGTCATATGTTTTAAGTTTGTAAATTGTAAGTGTACAAATTTTAGCTAAATAGAACTATTATTTTTTTAAAAAAGAATCGGGGGGAAAGTAGGAGAAAATGTGGAAGGATTGACAATTGAGAAGCATCCTATCTTATATAGAGAGAGCAAAAAAGGCTGGGTTAGTGATATCAAATGGTATCGATGTGGAAAAGAACATTGGATAAGATCTTCAGGATAGAAGCTAAATTGCAATGGTCAGAGAGTATTTAGGGACTCAATGTTTGTAAATAAATTTAAAAAAGAGCAAGTCAGGCTAGTACTCCAGAATAAAACAGGAGAGAATTATCTGGGAACAAAGGAAAACCAGGTTTGTCACAAGGTTCATGTAAGGTCAGGAAAAATGGTGAGACTAGGAGATCAGAGAGAATGAGAATCACTAGTGGAGTAAGAGAAGAGCCCAAGACTGTTGTTTGAGAAACAGGTAGGTAAGGAGGGGGCCTCAAATGCAGGAGGAGTGGGTTGAGATTCAGAGTGACTGAACATGGGCAACTTTGTAAGTCTCAATCTGGAATTTTCCAGCTTTGATCTTCTCAGTAGGTTGAGGGTAAAGCCATCTAATGAGAAGAAGACGGGAGGTTCTGAGGCTTAAGAAAAATAGAAAAGATTTGAAATAACTGCTGTATCTGTTGAAATAATAACTGTCTGAATGGTGGAAAATAATGCTCTCTTTTCTTAATTCTAGGGACCTCTTGTTTTTGTACCCAAATCATTGATTTCCCCATCCCCCGGAAAGAGTTTGGGAAATAACAATAATCAGCAAACCCAAAACTATTCAAGTCCACCAGAATGAAGGAGACCTTTCCTCCATGGAAAACTTACTTATAGTAAACAGAGGAGTGGTGGAAAAGGATCAAAAGGGACAAGATATAAAACTCCATTTCCATATTATATTATGAATATTATAATTCTGAAACCCCAGAAAGCAGCAGTGCTATAAATGAGGTATTTAGGGCGGCAAGGGCCGGAGAACCCAGGAACAGAGACCTCAGACAAACTTGGAGTATGAGGAAGATGCAGTGATCTTGACCTGCTTATCAAGGAAACAATAAAAGCAGAGTTACAAATTAAACCACTGTGCCAACAAAGTCCTCCCAGTTGGTGACATAAGGGCTAAAGGTTTTGACTACTCGTTTCTATCTAGAGGATTAGACAACCAGGAAGAGCTGAGAGAAATGTATTTGAAAGGCACGAGGAACCTGAACACTACCTCCCTCAGGTTAGCTTTTCAAATTTTGTCCCTTGATATTTTGCTTTTGTGAGGTGGGGAAGGTTCTTTCTCTCCTTGACAGCAGTTTCATTTGCTGTTTGGAAGTGAGAGTTGGCGAGTGGAAAAAGAATGTGTCTCTCAGGGCATAATTCTGAAAAGGCGGAGGGGATGTTGTTTTTTTCCTAACAGAAACCAGAACTCTAAATACAAAAGTAATTAAATTCTCTAGAAGCACAGCTAGAGAAAAGGGCGGGGAGGGGGGGCGGGGAGAGAGAGAGAGAGAGAGAGGAAATATTTGAAGTATCTAAAAGCACATCTGAAAGCAAACCAAGAATTTTAAGCTGCACTTTTAAGAGTTTTATAGGAACCAGACAATCTGCCGCATAAGATTCATGTTTTGGAGGGCGGGGATTTAGCTCAGTGGTTCCACTGCCTGCCTTGCAAGTGCAAGGACCGGAGTTTGATCCCTAGTACCACCCGTCCCCCAAAAAGATTCATGTCTTGGCCTTGTTTTTGTGGCATATATTAATTTTCCAAAAATTTTTAATCTATCTTATGGTGAGACAATAAGTGCAAAAGCTGAATTCTTGTAAGACTTGTATTAGCTGTAAAAGATCAGGTTAATGAAAACAGGCCAAACCCTTCCAAAGAATTTATGTATATGGAAAAGCAGAACAAATGAAATCACACATGGATGCTTTTGGGAGGTGGTTCCTGAGTGAAGAGTTTGGCGCAGTGCTTTATTTTTCTGTTTGTTTGTTCATTTCTTTTGTTTTCTAAGACAGGGTCTAGCTGTGTGGCCCTGGCTGGTTTCAAACTCTCAGCAATCCTCCTGCCTCAGCCTCCCAAGTATAAGAGGGATTGTAGTGTGGGCCACTACACCCAGGGACAGTGGATTTTTATTTGGGAGCTGTGAAAAACATATATGCACTGTTCCTCACAAGAAGCAGAATTCAGAGCTGAGAGCAGCAAAGGTGCCATCTGAACTGTTTATATCTTTGAACCTTTAGTGATTGGCAACCCCAGAGGAGCAGGACACATGTTCGTCGAAGGGGAGTAAACACAACAGTTTAGGCAAGGAAATTTAACTAGATTGCCTGGTCTGATTTCTTTGCTGACTCTTCCTGATCTACCTGGTCTTAAAGAAAACAGATCACGCTAATTTCCAAAAGCACAGTTCTACCCAGGCCTTCTGCCCCGAGAATGGGGGCAGGGACAGAAATCCTACTTGGCAATCTTCCCTCAGGGTCTCATGGGTGTCTTAAACCCATGTGTTTCAAGGAAAACTTGCTTTTCCTCTGGCAGCTGGCCCTGTTCCACTCATTTCCCATTTTTACTGGGCACAGCCCCATTCACACCTTTGCTGCAGCCATCAACCTGGAAGTCTCTGATGTCTTTTCCTCATTCGCTTGGCACCAAAACATGCTTTTGAAGTGGCCTTTTTCAATCCAACCAAGCCCACCGAGTAACCATCAATTCTTGCCCAGGTTTAGATAAGATGACAGCTTCTTCCCTGTCTCTTGGTTCTTGCTCTTGTCCCTTACAGGTCACACCATACCTCAGCAAAGTCTCTCCAGCCCCTCAACATAAAACTTAAATGATAGTCCACTCTGCTGATTGCTTAGATTTCTCCAAACATGCACACCTCTCTTCTGCAATGTGTAGGTTGGATGACCTGAAGCAACATGTCACACTTGCTGGTTCCTTTGTGGGCCTGCTCTCATCCAGCTCTGCTTCCTCTTGGCCTTGGACGGAACTGTTCAGTGCAGGCAGGGCTGGTCCCGTTGCTAGACCAGTCTATGTAGGTGTCTAGGAGTGGTCGTTTTAGTAATTTAATACATTTAGTGGTCGTTTCAGGTAATTTAATGCATTGGGATCCTCCAGATGAAATTTCAAATAAAGTGATCAAGTTGACATATCCTGTTGATATTAATATTGGTATAAAGACATGGAAAAATGAAACTAGAAGGAATCTTACAATGCAACTGGGGAATCCAAGCCAGACTCCTCATTTTAGAGCCAGATGCTCTCAGGGTACCTGAGACTTTTCTAATCCCACAGGTTTGGTAATGATGGAGCTGAGCCTGCAAAACCAGGGTACTGCACCTAGCCTGGTACTTTCCCATCAAATGACATTTTCTGCTAATTCTTGGAAGAATGAGGCCATGTCAACTAGGATATAGGACTCATCTCGTGGCAGTTGCTTTGTACACTTTTATTTCATAGGTAAAGACCAGTCCTGGAGAGAAGAGAACCACCATGGCTACTATGGCAGATGAAAAGATGGCAGGGGAAAATTCTCCCATTGATGATGACTCACACCGAGCTAAGGAACCATCCTGCAGGAAAGGTAAATCATGCATAGGGATCTGGATGTGGGAAAAGCCAGGATCCTGCTGTTCATCTACAGCATTTTTCTTGCTCTGGTCAATTGCCAAGGATTCTACAAATCTGTAGAACACACTTAACACTTATTACTTCATTTCTAACAGGAAACACTGAAGAATAGTAAGTATTATGACATTATTTGGAGATGAAAATGACTCAGAAGAGATTTTAAGTAGGAAACATAGAAACCTTGTCTGATTCTAATGTCCTGTTAGATCTCTCTTCTGATGCTAAACCCAGACCCAACTCAGAAAGAACAGACTTTCTTTTTCACCACATCATAGAAGCTGCCTTTTCCTTCTTTCTCTCATTTATGTTATAACTTCGTATTTTTCTATAGCATGCCATAAAGATCACCCTGGAATATTATTTCACCCTTATTTATTTACAACAGTCATCACTTAATTCTCCTAAAGATATGGGCTGCCCATGAAATAATGCCTTTTAAAAATTGACTGCTAACCAAGATGGAATACTTTGTGATACACACAACTTAGCTAGTTTGTGTGTTAGGAAGTAAACTTGTCTTCAAGAAAAGTGGGATCTCCTAAACTACTCCACCATAGAAGAAATCAGGAGATATGTATGTTAATGCTCATCCTACAATTAATTCATCACTTGGTCCAAAATAAATACAGTGCTATTCCAGTGATATTAGGGCTTAAGATCTCATCCACCTCTCTAAGTATTTTGGAGGCTATTGGACTACATCACTGGCCAAAGTCTATCCTTATTCTTTCCTCTCTCCCGTCTCTTCTCTCTGTCTCTGTCTCTCTCCCTGCCCCCCCATAATACAAACAGCTGCTATATGTATAAAATTGTACTAAGGCACAGAATGGCATACAGGGTAGGAGCACAGGGCAGAAACCATACTGCCTGAATTGGCAATCTTGGTTCTGCCATTTCTGAGCTGTGTGACTTTAGGCAAGTTTACCTAAATTTTCTACACCTCAATTCCTCCATCTGTAAAAATGGAGTGATGACAACAATAGCCAACTTATAGGACTGCTACAAGGATTAAATTATTTCAACTATAAATACATAGAATGATACATCACATGGAGTAGAAATGAAAACTATTGATTTAAGCATCCAATTTTGAGTCTATAACTTCAAGGAAAGAAATTAGAATGAAATAGAAAAATATAAAAATAATGTGCATTCAAACTGTGAAGAAAATAGAAAAATAGGAGACAGAACTATTGAAAAATATATAATATACTAATTAGGAGGAAATATAGATAAAATGAATTATTTTCTAGGAACTACGATTCATAATTTATGTTAATCATAGATGATTTCATGTTCTGTCGCCTAGTTTTTCATGGTTACTTGTATCTAAGCTCTGTCTGATTAATTTTAATAGTAAATTGCTTTTTATTGCTGTGAATAGATCTTTATTAAAGAAGTACTCTTGTATAAGTTTTTCATTTCAATTCCTTCACACTTTGAGAGTGCATTATTTTCCACATTTAAATTTTCTCTTTTATTCTACATACTTTCCTTGAAGTTGTAGCCTGAGTAAATTGGATGCTTAAATCACCATGTTTTGTTTTCTGTATAACCTGCTTCTTTCCCTTCTCCATATCCATTAATTTTGGTCCACTATCTTGCTACCACTCTGCATTTTTCATGACTTTTCAAGTTCTGATTCCATGTCACTGATTTGATTTTCTATAGTAATAATACTTGTGTGGAACTAATTAAAAATTTCACATTGGGGCAGAAAAGAAGACTGGAATACATAAATGAGTATCCAGAGGAAGACAAGACTCTCTCTAGCTATGGCCATCTTTCTGAATTTAACCTGCCATATCAATATGACATTGACCAAAATTCTAATGTGGATAGAAGTCAGGTACTGTCAGAGTTAGACTAAAGCAGGTGGCGAACCTGCAGCATGTATATTGCCCTGGGCTATTTGTTACCATTGAAAACTCTAAAAGGTTCACCATCACTGTACTAAAAGTGAGGACCTGCCAATTTCCAAAGTGTAACAGGAGCATCATTACACAAGGGTGCACAGGGTAGGCCACTCCAAATGCATCAGCTTCTTGGAGGAGACTGGAGACCAGGCACTATCATGGTGGGAGGGCAGGCAGGGACCATGTATTACTTCAAGGATTTCTCTAGGTAAACTGCAAGGGCAATTTACCAACTTTTCCAGCTTCTGCCAAACAATGTTGTTTGGTATGATCAAGTGTTATCTGTTAGCTCTCCAGGAACACTGGTTTATTTTGTGCAAGCCTAGATTGCAAAATTTTGACAGTTTAAACACACCTATTCTCGCTCTCTCCTACTTTTCAAGCTTCATCTCCTTCCAGGCCCCAAACAAATGGTGCCTCCAAATCCTTCAGTTATAAGGGACACTTAGGTGCCCAAGCAAAACAACTGGGGATCACTTCTAGCAGTTTCCTTTTGCTTACTCTCCATTTTCAATCAATCACTGCTTGCAGCCAGTTTTTTTTATCTGAATCGATTTCTTTCCATCCCCACTTTCATGTGCCTATTCCAGAACCCTGGAAAACTCTTCCTTAGTAATTGCTGAGCCAACTTCATATATTTTTCCAATCTCTGCTTGAGCAATGCTTCTAAGGGAGCCTCCTCTCCCTCCATTTCTGGGGGACGGGATCCTTCAGACACCTACAGAGTGGCATCTGCTTTCTTTGTGTCTGCAGCACAGACATCAGTCTTCTTTCTCTTCCAGGCTTGGGAAGGACTTAAGAAAGCATCTGTCTATAAGACTTTTTGTGTCTTCTCCTTCAGGCTTTTGTTCAGTCCGGCATGGGCTGGCCCTCATCTTGCATCTTTGTAACTTTTCAATCTACACTCAGCAAATGAACTTGAGCATTGCCATTACGGCTATGGTGAACCACACAGAGGCATCCAGCCAGCCCAACTCCTCCACAGAGCAGACCTCCATGGACTCCCTGGGCTCCTGGAATGAAACCTTAAAGGAAGCAAAGGCATTGGTAAGTTTAATGAGACTCCAGATGCCTTCATTGATTCAAATGCTTTGACATGAAGTGTTATACAAGAAAGAGATTCATCTATCCTATAAATATCTATTGAGCATATACTATGTGCCAGGTAGCAGCAGAAGAGCATGACATAAGGATATTTTTAAATCTGCTTGGTGTCTGTGAGTACAGACAGGAACTGAGTCAGAGTGATGGAAATTGTCTTTATCATTTAGGGGACATAACTTATTCTTCTGAATGGTGAAAATCAACACAAAATAAGTTACCCTAATCCATGTCTATTCCTTTATTTCAGATAATTTTTATAGCCTTGCTTATGTTGTTTCCTTCTTTGTAAGCTTTCTATCTTCACAGATTCTCATATTTTAATGGGTCAGCTAACTGTGTCAGGGTGACAGGAAAGAATGTGTTGGGCACATAGTTTTTATTTTTCCTTTTATGAAATTGGTATAGCAAAGGAATTGGAAAGAAAAGGGAAAAATATCTTCTTTTTTTTTTGGCATCTCAGTCAAAAGCCCACTTCCTCACTAAAGGTCAACAATGAGAGTCTCTTCATTGTCCAGGCCCCTGTCTATGACTGGAATCCTGAGATCCAGGGAGTCCTCCTCAGCTCTCTCAACTACGGCTCATTCTTGGCTCCAATCCCAACTGGCTATGTGGCTGGGATATTTGGAGCCAAGTATGTGGTTGGCGTTGGCTTGTTTGTTTCCTCAGTCCTGACGCTCTTCTTTCCTCTGGCGGCTGATGTTGGAGTGGCCTTACTCATCGTCTTCCGAGTCATTCAAGGCATTGCCCAGGTACCAAGGTTTTTTACAAGAACAAGTGGAATATTGGCTCCAGAGTGATCTCCTATATCTAAGAATGGAAATATCTCCCCCTCCAGGTTATGGTATTAACAGGTCAGTACTCAATTTGGGTCAGATGGGCTCCCCCACTGGAAAGGAGTCAACTCACCACCATTGCTGGATCAGGTAACTGATATCCTAATCTCCCCATACATCCTATCTGTGAGTACATAGCAGCAGCTTCTGAAGAGAGCTAAGACTTGTATCCCAATTACTCTCCATAGTACTTGCTCTAAGATACTGTCCCACAGTCCTTGATCAGAACTAAATGCTAACTATGCTTATACATTCTTATATTTTATACATATTCATTTCCTTTTAACCTCAGAACATCTTATAAATCAACTAGATATAATTATTTCCATTTTACATGCAATTTGAGACACAAATGGACTAATAATTGCCCAACTACGGAGTGAAGAAGCCGGACTTGCCGTAGACAGTCTGGATTGAAGCTCACTCCTTCAATCACTGTGTAACAATTTTGTAGGAAGCACACAGAATTTCAAGACTGGCCCTCTTACTGGGAACATTTTTGCATCTCTTGTTCAGGGTCAATGCTGGGAACCTTCATTGTCCTCCTTGTTGGTGGTCTCCTCTGCCAGACCATGGGATGGCCTTATATCTTTTATATCTTTGGTGAGTTTGTGCTTTTCAAATCTCAGAATTTTATTTTATGGTAAAGCATGCTGGGCCTGATTTCTGTGGTACAACTCATCTATGGCTAACCAACCCTTAACAGATACAGATGTTTACATAGCTAAACTTGACGAGGTTCAAAGTTAACCATACTGTGAACCCTTTGGGTTATAAAACAGTGTTTAAGTGTTAGTAGCTCAAGTGTGCAGCTAGAATAATCTGTGACTTTAAGGGCCTCATAATATTTCTTCCTGCTTCTAAATTGAAACTAAAGGATCCTCAGGTAATTTCTTTCCTAAGTTGTTGAAAATGTTACCTTGGTATGTTGTATATTTACTAATGCTTATTTAATTAATACATTTTTAAATGTTCTTATCTTATGTGGATGTGACCCAAGCACAGAAAAATTAGTTTAGCGAGGAGAATCAACCAGTAGAGTCTTCAGAACAGGGAAGGCTATAAGAGCTCACTTGTGGACGCAGTACTTGGAAAGTCTGCAGAAAGGTCCCAAAGGCACATAGAATATTCTAGAGGCAATATTTTACTACCTCGCAATTTTACCTCCATCAAGCTCTGGCTGGGACCCGCCCAGGTGATGTTAACTAGCATGTGTGTGTTTGTTTGAATTTTGAAATATTCTTTTAAATCCTACCTGGAAATTGCCTGATTCCTTAGGATAAGTCCCATGAGGGTTTATGTTAGAAGGTAGTCCTGTTAGATTGAGGGCCCCCATAACTTCAGATCAATATGTTCACTCCTCAACAATTTGTGAAAATTGATTACTGTAGCATATCAGTCTTCAAAGGTTGTCATGAAAACATCAAAAGGGCACATTACAGAAAGTATTGCTGTGCTCATGGTTTTGAGAAACATTAAGCAGCATATACAAAAGAGGAACTCGCTAAATAGTTGTTGAATCAGTATTAAGATTCTCCACCCCTACTGTGCACCATTGCCATTGTTCATGTCTATCCCTCTGCACTTCATTGAGTTCTTGGGTGACAAAAAAAGTGTTTTTGAATTCTACATTCTCAACATTTAGCAATATGTCTGTTATATCATGTCTATGTGAGGAAATGTGTAAATGACAAGCTAGTCAAATGAAGAGAACGCTTAAGATTTCCTTAATAGAGGTGTAGGGGAAGTGGGAAGGGTAGCAGAAAGGAAATAAGGGAAAGAAAAAAATGTGAGAAAATGAAAAAATGGAAATAAAGTCTTTGTAAATAGGGAAGGGAGGAGGGGGTGAAAGGAGGGCAGGGGTAGGGGGAAAAAATGAGAACCAAGACCTGTCATGTAAAGGTATAAGATCTCAATGATGAATGTAACTTTACTGTATCCCTAAAATGTAACAATAAACTCGATGAGAAAAAAAGAATATTAATAAAGGTTGATTAGATTTAAACAAAGGTTTCCTTAAGATTCTAAAAAGGAAATTTTAAGATGAGCCACATTACCACTTACTACTGATAATGTTGAGCTCTTAATAATGCTTGTAGTAGAAGAAATTTATTTGCTGAGGATCAATTTCACTTCAAGCCCAGAAACTGTTGGTTAATCAACTGTGCATAAAACATGCTACTACTAACTCTTAAGTGCTTTAAGAAAGATTAGGGATAGACGTGGAAAGGCTTAAGAAAAAAGAAACTTTGCAGAGCATGACCAGGAGGAATGCTGGTTGATGCTTGGATAATGAGGGTGTATTTGAACACATGAGACAAACACACTAATACTTATAAAAATGCCTTACTATCTTGATATGATAGTGCATTTTACAGCCTCTCCAAACAGTGGTCTAGAAGAGTGGTTTTATTCTCAGAGTTCTTTGGGACAGCCGAGTGGCTCTTCTCTGTGTGTGTCACCTTCCTTGGTTAATGGACCAGCTGGAGCAAGTTTTGCCCATGACAATGGCCAAGACCCCAAAGGACAAATCAGGAAAAAGAAGTGCCTCTTACTGTCTGGGTTCAATACTTCCCTCTTCCATTGGCAAAAGTGAGAAACTTAGCCAAGGCCAAAGTTAGGTGGGGCCAAGTGCCCTGACTTCTGATGGGCCCTGCAAGGGTATTGTTGCAGAGAGTGGGTTTAGTGTTGGCACGATTTTGTCAACCACAAGATTATCTGGCACAGATACAAAATGAAATAAAAACTCCAACCCAGTGCCAGCCAGGTATTCTTTGCCTAGGTGGAATTGGCTGTGCCTGCTGCCTTCTCTGGTTTCCTCTGGTCTATAACGACCCTGGAAGTCATCCCTTCATCAGCACCAGTGAGAAGAGGTTCATTGTGTGCTCATTGGCTCAGCAGGTACATTGAGGAATTTCCCTGTGTATGTCTGGGCATTGTGGAATTGAGAGTGCAGTACAGCAGAGTCCTTGCTTTCTGATGCGCGCACGTTGGCATGTGCTTTCTTCCAGGACTGTTCTCCTGGCTGGTCTCTTCCCATTAAAGCTATGATCAAATCTCTACCACTTTGGGCCATTGTAGTCTCGTACTTCTGTGAATACTGGCTTTTCAATACCATAATGGCATACACACCCACTTATATCAGCTCTGTACTTCAAGCCAGCCCCAAAGACGTAAGTACAGAAAAAAAAAAAACCCAAAAAACCTTAATCTGTTCTGTTTGACTGCATCATCATATAATCCTCTGTCTTTTCCACAGTCCCCAAACCAGACGATTAGACAAGGACCTCAGACAGGAAATACAGTCTGGTTAATTTGGATTCTGATTGATTTCAGTATGGTTTACTGCTAACTGGGATGGTTCTAAGTTAGATGATATTTACAGAATGAAAGAGCCTTATGTGAATATTTTATACTTGATTCCAATCAAAATTGACAAGATAGTCTGTCAGCAACATAAATTGCAGAGGAATAGGAAAACAAAGTCTGCCCTGGAAAACATGAAGACAGAGAAGCATAAATAGCAGATGTTGAAATTAACATATTATTAATAGGACATAAAGTCCTAAGTAGTTATATAAAATATTTGTGGACTTAAAAAATATTTCATTCAAGTATCATGTTTCTAGCTCTCTGGATTACTCCTAAATAAGTGGATACTGTGATTGGCTAATGGGAGCCCTCTCAATTCCTGCCAGCTGGAGGTCTTGAGAGTGGTGAAGAGTATATCACATGTCATAGCCTGTTAGTGACAGATTACAAGGCCCTCGATGACCCTGTACTGAAGGGGCAGGCTTCTCACACTGAGGGCACCTCTGAGTGGCCTGGGAGAGGTGACCGGCTCAGTTGGGGTAAGAGTCTGGTGAATACTCATGCAAATAGGCAAACGGACTGTAGGCACCAAGACCAGACAGCTCAGGAAGGAGCAATTTTGAGTCATCTCAAAGAGGGGTTCCAGAAACAGGCAGTGTAACCGTGGATTGGGAGGCAGGAGGACCAGGCAAGTTGGAATGATTCACACTGGTGTGAGGCTGAGTGGGAAGACCAAGGGAAAAGAGGGGAACTAACACAGAGGAAGACAAATGCGATGGGACAGTAGAGCTTTGCTGCTTAGAAGTCAAGACCTGGGCTGGGGCCTGGGATTTAGCTCAGTGGTTCCGTGCCTGCCTCACAAGTGCAAGGTCCTGAATTTGATCTCAGGTACCAAAAAAAAAAAAAAAGATTTAAAGAAGTAAAGACCTGGTCTTCCCGCACTCTCAGCCACTTCTCATCAGTCAGGGGCCTTGCAAGTCTTGGTTT